TCTTGCTCAGGCTGGTCTCAAACTCCTGAACTCAAACAATCCGCCCGCCTCGGCCTCCCAGAGTGCTAGGATTACAGGTGTGAGCCACCGCGCCCTGCCCATCCATGAGGATTGAAATCACCTTCTTCCAAATTCCTGTTATTGTTGTTACTTTGACCTCCTCCCATGAATCACGAATGTTCTTAAGACATCTAGAATGGTGAATCCTTTCTAGAAGGTTTTCAGTTTGCTTGGCCCGGATCCATCAGTCCTCACTACCTATGGCAGCTATAGCCTTATGAAATGTATTTCTTGAATCAGGGGTCCCCAACCTATGGTGAGTTGTATAATTATTTCATTATATGTTACATTGTAATAGTAATAGAAATAAAGTGCACAATAAATTTCATGCCCTTGAATCATCCCAAAACAATCCCCCTGTCCATGGAAAAATTGTCTTCCGTGAAAATGGGTCCCTGGTGCCAAAAATGTTGGGGACTGCTCTCTTAAATAATAAGACTTGAAAGTCAAAATTACTCCTGACCTATAGGCTGCAGAATAGATGTTGGGTTGGCAGGCATGAAAGCAACATTCATCTCCTTGTATATCTCCATCAGAGCTCTTGGGTAACTAGGTGCATTGTCAATGTGCTATAATGTTTTGAAAGGAATCTTTGTATTGGGGCAGTAGGACTCATCAGTGGACCTAAAATATTCAATAAACCATGCTGTAAACAGATGTACTGTCATGCAGGCCTTGGTGTTTCATTTATAGAGCATGGGCAGAGTAGATTTAGCATTTTTAAGAGCCCTAGGATTTTTGGAATAGTAAATGAGCATTTGCTTCAACTTCAAGTCACCAACTGCATTAGGCCCTAACAAAAGAGAGTTAAGCCTGTCCTTTAAAGCTTTGAAGCCAGGCACTGACTTCTTCTCTCTAACTATGAAAGTCCTAGGTGGCATCTTCTTTCAACACAAGGCTATTTTGTCTGCATTGAAAATCTCCTGTTAGTGTGGCCACCTTCACCAATGGTCTTACCTAGATCTTCTGATAACTTGCTGCAGCTTCTGCATCAGCACTTGCTACTTCACCTTGCATGTTTATGTTATGGAGATGGCTTCTTTCCTTAAACCTCATCAGCCAACCTCTGCTAGCTTCAAACTTTTCTCCTGCACCTTCCTTACCCATCTCAGCTGTAGTAGAATTGAAGAGAGTTAGGGCCTTGCACTGGATCAGACTTTGGCTTAAGGGAATGCTGTAGCTGGTTTGATCTATCCAGACCGCTAAAACTTTCTCCATATTAAAAATAAGGCTGTTCTGCCTTCTTACCATTCATGTGTTCACTAGAGTAGCACTTTTAATTTCCTTCAAGGACTTTTCCTTTGCCTTCACAATTTGGCTGACCGTTTGACACAAGAGGCCTAGCTTTCGGTCTATCTCAGCTTTCTACATGCCTCTCTCACTAAGCTTAATGATAATTTCTAGCTTTTAATTTAAAGTGAGAGATGCGTGACTTTTCCTTTCACTTGAAGACTTAGAGGCCATCGTAGGGTTATTATTTGGCCTGATTTCAATATTATTCTGTCTCAGGAAATAGGCCCAAGGAGAGGGAGAGAGACAGGGAAATGGCTGGCTGGTGGAGCAGTCAGAACACACAAATTTATCTAAGCTCACCATCTTACATAGGTGCAGTTTGTGGCACCTTATGATGATTAAAATAGTGACAGCAAAGATCACCACAACAGATATAATAATAATGGAAAAGTTTGAAATACTGCAAGAATTACCAAAACGTGACACAGAGACAGAAAGTGGGGCATGCTGTTGGAAAGATGGCATCGACAGACTTGCTCCAGCCAGGGTCACTACAAACCTTCAACTTGTTACAAAAAGAAAAAATAGCATCTGCAAAGCCTAATAAAGTGAACTTAGGGGTTCTGAGCTTAGGAGTTCTTTTAAAAATAAAGGACCACTAATCATAGTATTTACCATTTTGAAAAAGATCATTTAATTTCCATTTACATTTTTCCTAAGATAACATTCCAGTTTGTAAGGAATCTGATTATTACTGAGGGATTTGGTTATTTGTCAAATGCCTTATTATCCAGGCATCGAGTTGTCAAATTAATTTCCTGTGGCTGATCAGCCTAGACTTTGTATGTGGCCAGGATCATAATGATCCCCTGGTCAGCTCTCCAGGACTCCCAGTCTCTCTGATTCCACCAGCCTGTGGGTCTTTCCTTACCAGCCAAGGCCCATCCTCAGTCCCTTCACTGGTGCTCACCAGCCCTTCAGTTTCTCTGACTTTGTATTTTTTATCCTTATCCTGCCAGTTCCCAAGCTTAGATAGGTCCTAAAGTATATACTCATGTACAATTCCCTCTCTTCCTCCCTCTCGCTCTACTTTTTTGAACACAAATACTATACACACAGTCTGGATATTGCTTTTTTAATATATTGCTACATCTTGGAAATCAGTTCATATCAGTGCTATAGACCTGCCTCTCTTTTAATAGATACAAAAATGCAATTGATTGTAAACATACCATAATTTAATCAGTCCCCTATTAAAGGGTGGTGCTTGCCAATCTTTTATTGCTGCAAATAGCGTTTCAGTGAACATCCTTAAAACATCAGTGTTTGTGCCCACACACAACTATATCTATATGAAAAATCTTAGAAGTGGAATTGCTATATTGAACGGTTCATATATTTTCATTTCTGAAAGGAGAAATTTTTTCTATTAATATTTCTTGTATTGTTGCTCCTCCAGTCTATTCATGTATCATTGATTTCTTAGATCTGTCCTTAATGTCTGCCACCTTTTTAAAATATTCATCTCTTTATCTTTTTCTTCTGAGTTCTGGGAGAACTTTTGAAGCATCCTGGTTCACTGTTTGCTTTCTATAATTCACAGTTCCTGAGATCACTGAATTCCTAAATGTGGTAATCATTGTTTGCATCTAAGAACTCTTTGCTGTTCTATTTTTCTCTTGTTAGGACTACTGGCCTTTTATCTTTTAATCTATTGAAGGATAACATATAATATATACAAAAAAGTGTCATACAAGAATGTATAGAAAAAATCAAACAAATCTTAACGAAATGTTCAACTTGATGAACTCTCAAAAAGTACATCTTCCGTAACCAACACTCAGATAAAGAAACAAAAAATGCCAGCACCCTAGACCATCCCTTGGGCCCCCTTACTATTATAATCTCTCCATGAGTAACCACTATCTTGACTTCTAACACCATAGATTGATTTTGCCCGTTTTCTTTTAACTTTATATAAATGTAATTATACAGTACATACCACTTATCCGTTCTTTTGTGAACACATTATATTTGATGAATGTAGTTTTTTCTCATTGCTGTATAGCATTCCTTAGCATGAATATAAAATTCATTTATTCATTCTGTTGTTGATGGACACTTCAGTGGTTTCTTGTTTGAGGCTATTATGAATAGTGCTGCTATGGACACATTTGTGTCTTCTGATGTACATGTATACATGTTTGTTGGGTATATGTATCAAGGAGTAGAATTGCTGGATCAAAAGGTGTGTAGGCCGGGCACGGTGGCTCACGCCTGTAATCCTAGCTCTCTGGGAGGCCGAGGCAGGCGGATTGTTTGAGCTCAGGAGTTCGAAACCAGCCTGAGCAAGAGCGAGACTCCGTCTCTACTAAAAATAGAAAGAAATTAATTGGACAACTAAAAATATATAGAAAAAATTAGCCAGGCATGGTGGTGCATGCCTGTAGTCCCAGCTACTCGGGAGGCTGAGGCAGAAGGATTGCTTGAGCCCAGGAGTTTGAGGTTGCTGTGAGCTAGGCTGACGCCACGGCACTCTAGCCCGGGCAACACAGTGAGACTCTGTCTCAAAAAAAAAAAAAAAAGGCATGTAAATGTTAAATTCTAAAGCAACAATTGTATACTTCTGTGAAGGTCCTGGTTCTTCCACATCCTTGCCAGCAGTTGGTATTTTCTGCCTCTTTCATTTTAGCCTTTTTGGTAGGTATGAAGTAGTATTTCATTATGGTTTTAGTTTTCATTTCTCTGGCCACTTGTGACATTGAGCATATTTTCATGTGTATTGGCCATTCGGATATCCTCTTTCATGAAGTGTCTGTTGAAATTTATTTTTCCATTTTAGAATTATTTTTAAAAATACATTTAGCTAGCTGGTAGGTCACATTTGTGACAAAATCCTTTGTCCCTCCTTTTTCCCTTTATCCTTTTAAATTTTTTTCTTGGTTCTTCTCTCACCTGCTATTTTTCTAACAAGTGAACTTTAGAACCAGTAACTAATCTTAACTCTTCTAGAATTTTTAGTGAATTTGCATGGAGTAAGTTTATTTTATTGGAATTTACATTAAAGTTTATTTTATTTGGGAAAAATTGGCATCTGAACTGGAAGATGTCCTTATTAGAAGGAAAAATATGACAAATACTAAGCCCTCCCAGTTTTTGCCCACTATATTGCATTTTTTTCCAGACTGTATTATCATCCTTGTATCTAATTCTCAGTTTCATTTTTGACAAGTGCTTGTTAGAAGCAAAAGTCTTTTAATATGCATTTCAAATCTGCAACCTCCTTAAAAATATAAATATTTTACAGGTTCTTGATCAATATGAACAAGAAGGATTTAATTTCCTCGCCAAGGTGTTTAATTCTTCACATTCCTTCTTAGAAGATTTGACTGGTCTTACATTGCTGCATCAGGAGACGCAAGCTGCTGAGGTAAGAACAAAACAAACTTTCTGTACTGAGGACTGATGTGTTTGAAACCTATTTATATTCAGCATTATGGAAAAGGAAGAAAGCAATTTTTAAAATTTTTTTTACTTAGAGTAAATATAGCTAAATAAGTCTGCTGGATATCAGAGAACAAAGAACCTTCAGCAATTGCTATATGCTGATGTGTGTAGGTTGCTGTCCAATAGGTGCCTAATGCACAAAATTACTGATAAAGGAAGTACAGGCTATTGATTGCCAAGTACCTCTTGTCCTTACTGAAGATCCGTGTGTGCATATGGCCATTGGAAAATTGGCATTAATGTCCATATATCAAAATGAAAGTCAGTGGGCCGGGCACGGTGGCTCATGCCTGTAATCCTAGCACTTTGGGAGGCCAAGGCGGGTGGATTGCTCAAGGTCAGGAGTTTGAGGCCAGCCTGAGCAAGAATGAGACCCCGTCTCTACTAAAAAATAGAAAGAAATGATCTGGACAACTAAAAATATATATATATAAAAAAAAAAAATTAGCTGGGCATGGTGGCACATGCCTGTAGTCCCAGCTATTAGGGAGGCTGAGACAGGAGGATCGCTTGAGCCCAGGAATTTGAGGTTGCTGTGAGCTAGGCTAATGCCACGGCACTCTAGCCCAGGCAACAGAGCGAGACTCTGTCGCAAAAAAAAAAAAAAAAGAAAGTCAGTGAAGACATTGAACTCTGGCCACGTTCTTAAGAAAGAACACATTGGATTCTGTCTAGGCCGTGTTCTTCAGAAAGAACGTGCCTAGCTTATATTTCACAGTTTGATCAGTCTTCTTAGGCCACTGAACCCCATCATGAAATGGCTTCCCCAGTCACAACCTGAAAGAGTTACTCTCTCTCAGCTAGAATATCTTATAGATCTTAACATCCTGGGTCATTGCATCATCTTTTTTAAAGGCTGAGTTTTAAAAATAGATTATCGTTTTGTTTTTTTCAAATGCTCAGTGTTCTTAGAAATGGGAATGCTGTGTATGGTGGTAGAGCCATTCGAGTCACTTGGCAAAATGTACAATTCCTCAGAATGGATGAGTGGGATTTAAATGAGATCAAATCCACATCTTTTCCCTTGGTTACCTGGGCAAAGAAGCTATTAGAAATGTGACTTATGAAGTGTTTCTACAAGCTGTATAAGGAAAACCTTTACTGCCTGTGTTCTGCAGGGGTAGTATACTAGCCAAGTTGCCATTAGTCCTGTTCATGGATAAACTCCCCTGTAGGTTGTGCATCCTCACCACTGGGGGAGGTCCCAAGTAGTCAGTGAATAGATGGCCTGGCTCAATACTGGACCAGCCAGTGGTAAAAGGGCTGTTGTTTGGAGAGGTAGAGCTAACACCGAGTATAGGAAAACCATGTGGAAATCCCAGAGTCAAACCCCTGGAGCTTGTAGAAGATTGGGATAACTTGTCAGGCACTCCAGGGAGGCAGGATAGTACATCTCTAATGCTAGACTTAGAACCGAAGCCAGTTCTTCTTTAACTTGCTTTGATGTCCTCTGGGCATTAAACAGATACAATCTTCCACTTATGGCCAGTAGTTGGAACCACAGGGAATCTCTTATCTTCAGTTTCAGGAGATGAATGTCATCTCTACAGAACTTTGAGATTTACCCCCAGAATTTTGATCGAGTTCCCAGACAGGGTTCAGAAGACGATTTTGATTGCCTGCCATATTGTCTTTTCAGCAGTGCTGTTCTGCCTGATGATGTGGGATAGGTAACTTACAGATCCTTGCAACCATGCAGTCATTTGATGAGATGGCTTGGGGGAGCTTAGCTACTTAGCTGAAATAATTTATATGTTTCTCTTTAGTTGGCCAGAAGAATTATAACTTGGAATTGACCCCATGCTTCACTCTACAACAGAACAGATACTAGGATAATGGGCAGATTCCTTGATTTAACCTGGTACGTTTTGCGTTTTAGTTGGCCAAACATTAATAGCTTATTTGAAGACTCAGAAGAGAAGGAAGGGGAAGTTCAAGAGAACAGTAGATGGTGGGGCAGAAGGGAGTATGGTTTCATCCACAAGTCTGAGTTTTCTTTTTGAATTTTCCTCCATTAAATTATATTTATAGTTTTGGAATCATAAGCCACACATCAAATTTTAGTTAAGAGATGGTAAACTAGCTGGCCTGTGAGCCAGCTATGGCTTGCAGGTGTGTTGTTTTTGGCCTGCTGTATGTGTTAAATTTTAAATAAAGCCAACATTTAAAAAGCATGAGTTTTACATAAAAGTCTGAATTTTCCCTTTTCCAACTTCTTTGAAAAATCAGATCCGGCAACTCCAGACCTGCATTCTTTAATAGTGATGGTTAGCTGGAGCTGAGAAGCAAATTTCATAGATAAATAATGCACTTGATACAAAATTTAAAGGTGTAAAAAATACTCTGTGAAAAGGAAGTCTTCCTTCTACACCTACCTGTCCCTTAGCTCCACGGTTCCCTTCCTGGAGACAAACAGTGTTGTGAGATTCTTGCCCAGAGATATTCTTTAGGTGATATTCTCCACTCAGGCGATTCTCTTCAGGTGATGACCCTGATAGATATTTGAGTTTGTAACCTCAGTCTTAGAAAAGGGTCATTATTTTTTTTACCTCTAAATAGGACCATGTTTTAAGATACAGTCTAAACTACAATACTCACTGGAGGACCTCATAGCAACAAAAATTATCATCCTGCATACATCATTTTGTATGACTTTGAAAAGTATGTGTGTGTGTATGTGTAAGCAAAATAAACATGTATATCAAAGTATACACGTTTGTGTGTTACAGGTGTTTTGATTTACGTGCTGATTTCCAGTGCGTTTACAGATGTTCAGTAATAAAAATGCAAAATTCTGCATTTGACATAGAAAGGTTTATTTATTTTAGCAACACAGTCAAGATGCTGAATTCTCATTTTTAGGTTAACTGTTTTCATCAGTCAACATTGGAATTCAAAAGATTCAACTAGATAATTATATGTGATAGTATCATTATATATCTTGTTTATAAAATACGTATTTTTTTTAAAAAGTTTACTGAATGTCTTTTGAAAATTTAATACCAAACACTATGCTAGTAATTGATTACAGAAGTTAATGAGACACTGACCCTCATGGGCTCGTAATCTAGTATGAGAAGCTGAGATGTAAATAGTGAGCTCTAATATCATCAAAAATGTTTTAGTCGTTTATAAAGTGCTGAGAGAGCAGTTACTTCTGCCCAGGATGGTAGGGATGTCAAAGAAGGCTTCACAGAAAGAGAATAAGTATTTCAATTAGTTTTAAAGGATGAGTCAGGTATTTTTAAAAATAAAAGTTGGGATTGAGTGTAGTGGTTCACGCCTGTAATCTCAGCACTTTGGGAGGCCGAGGCTGGAGGATCACTTGAGACCAGGAGTTTAAGATCAGCCTGGGCAACATAGTGAGACCCTGTCTCTACAAAAAGTTAAAAAAACAAAAACAAACAAACAAAAAAACTTAGCGGGATGGGGTGGCACACTTCTATAGCCGTAGCTACTCCACAGGCTGAGGCAGGTGGATCGCTTGAGCCCAGGAGTTCGAGGCTGCAGAGAGCTATGATCACACCACTGCGCTGAAGCCTGGGCAGCAGAGCAAGGAAAAAAAAAAAAGTTGTATTTTGGCAGAGGAAGAGTAGAGAAGGGGAGGGCAAGAGGCCTAGGGCATTCTAAACTGAACAAAGGTCCCCAAGGCTGAGAGTCTTTAGTGTGTCATTCAAAATCAAGTAGTCTGATATGGTTGGAGCCAGAGTTACCTGAAATAAAGATAATGTTTTTTAAATAACATCTTTATTGAATTATAATTCACATACTATAATTATGAACATACCTTTTTAAAGTGTACGATTTAATGGTGGTTAGTATTTTCAGAGTCATGCAACATTACCACTCTCTCTAAGTTTTAGAACATTTTCATTGTCCCTGAAACAAACTCTTTACCTATTAATTGGTACCCTCCTCCTTCTATCCCCTGGCGACCACTGATCTACTTCCTGTCTATATGAATTTGCCTATTCTGGACACATCACATAAATGGAACAATACATGACCCTTTGTGTCTGGCATCTTTCTGATTTTAAGGTTCATTCATGTTGTAGCAAGGTAAATAGTTCTTTATTTAAAGAAAAAAGTTTTGATGCTATTAAAGTTTTCCATATTCTTCAGCACTTGTGGTCTATCTCCCCCAAATACCCTTTATGTAGGAGGAGTGCAAAGCCAATCCTACTGGGGACTACAAATTCCTTTTTATTCATAGAAAGGAGCACATAGCAATGCAGTAGAAGATATATCGAAGATAGAATCATCCAGATTTAGTGAGATTGACAAATGCAACCCAATTTTTATACCCATCCCCCATCCATTATCAAATATCCCAAAATGATGGCAATGATTTTAATCTAGGTTACTGGCATAATTGTATTGCTATAGAGATTAGCAGTGAGTTTTTATCAGAGGAGGGGTCAAGGTACAAGATGCAGAGTCGATACTGGCGACCCAGACTTACAAAGATGAATTTGTTCTGGGTAGTAGTGATTTGGAGGTGGTGGGATAAGTGAGTGAAAGTGACTAGATGGCATTGGAGATGGAAAGGAGATGGAGCTTGGAGAAAAAGAACAGCACTGGTAAATTGATGTAGCCAGATAAACGAGAATTATCCTCTTCCATTTAGCACAATGAGGAGAGGCTGAGAGCTAGGATGCAATAAAAAAAATTTAAATGAGAAATGTGCATGGTAGATTAATTTTATCTGAAGTTATAGATTAAAAATTTTAAATACTTACCACATAAATGCCATTTGCCTTTGCCTAACATTATAGTCCATAACAAAGGGGACTTGGACAGCTACCCATATTCTTTGTATATAACCTGTCTAGCTGCCAAATTATAGTTACATTCTGCCCATGAAGGATTAGAAGGCCCCAAGGAGAAAAGGGCCCACTCAGCTTCCTACCCTTTTAAAATGTT